GTCCGTGGAGTCGAATTTTCAAAATATTTCGCAACGTCTGTAAAGCACTTTTATTTCGAAAATGTTTGTTCATGCTGAATCATACACTTAATCACTTGCATTAACCTGCGCCTTGCATGGCTGTTCACGAAATAAAGCTATTCACACCCACTTATCGCTGTTAATGATTCATTGAGCTTTTTTGTCTACTTTTTCTATTTTCGACGCTTCTGAAGGTTTCGTTTGCAGTGCTGCAGTTTTCTGAATCTGTTTTCTAGAAGTGATGTCATCAGTTTATGTTCGAGCGGAGTCTCGGAGTCTCCATAGACTCAGCCATGCACGATAATCATTCGATTAACTTCCGGTCGCTCCGCTTCCTACTTTGGCGCTTCCGTCTTGTTTGGCAAGTGTTGAGTTTAACTGCTTCTCATTTATCTTCTTCCCGAGCCGTTGAGGTCCTAAGTTTTTCAAAATATGTTTTAGCGGCTTGGAAGTGGAATAGTATAACATTTTGTTTTTGATGAAATCGCATGGTGAAGGAATTACTGTTTGAGAATAAATGGGCACTGCTATTTCTTTGATCCAAAAACCAAAAAAGAGCTACGGCTAGTGCTACAACTCTTTCATTTTCAATTTATCCTGATATAGAAATTCATTCAAGCAAGGCAGTCTCGTCAGACTGCCTTAACCTAATTATTTTTTCCATGAAATTAAGCTGCTCAATTCAAATGCGTCTTTTCGCCAAGCAACATCCTTTTGAGCAAAAATGTGATTTTTCACTCTTCCGAAATAGTCTCGCTAAAAGAGAATGAGAAAGTTCTCCCTATCAGCTTGCAGTATTTCCTGTTCGCTGCTTATTTGATACATTCTTATCACACCCTATGTTCGTCACACAAAACCAAATTCAACTTACGTGCAGTTCCCCGAATTATGGTGCACGAATTTTTGCATTCTCAGCCTATTCCATGCGAAAACATCATATGATCAGCAGACCAAAATTAGTTGTCATTTCACAACAACTGCTCCGCTGCTTTGACGTAAATTCTTCTCAGATTTGAATCTGTGTTTGTCAGGAGTATTGCTTTTTTCTTCCTGACAAAGATTTGGGCACCAAAAAGTAAAAATTTGAACAGTTTTGTTTCGTTTAGGTTTATGGATTTCGATAAAATTTGATCTCGAAAAGTTGCGGTATTTTTTATTGAAAAACACAAATTGAAATGTTGTTGAGAGCCCACATCTGGCAGTGAGCCACATTTTCCGCTAGCTTTGAGTTTTGTCACCCTCATATGCTTTTATGAGCAACTTCTGGATAATTATGTTGCAATTTTTATCAAGACTTCCACAAATGTCCTTTTGGCAGCATAACAATAGCATTATTTTCTCTTCCTTTTTTTTTCTTTTTTCCATTTGTATGGAGCTTTTTTCGCAACCACAAAAAAGTTCGGCGCTTTCTTCTGTAAATCGCTGAAAAGCCTCTTTTCAATTCCTACCCACTTTTGACAAAAAAAGGTGAACAGGTTCTCTTCTGAACGAAAATATTCATGCTAGAGCATTGTCTCGAGGCGACTAATTACTTTCGAGAGAGATTGATGTGAGTCTATGCTGCCCATTTTATTGGAAATGGCGTTAAGAAAAATGTTATTTGGTGATTTGCATTTTGGATGGTATGAAAATGAGAAAGTTCACTTAATTTCTAGCTACCAACAGATTTTGAGGTTTCCAAGAATGGCTGCTTTCTTTCTGCAAAACTTCATCGAACGAAAAACCAGGGTTGTCATGCCAATTTTTTGAACACAAAGAACACAAATTGAACATCAACTCCTTTCGGGATGCAAGTTAGTGTAAACAATTCATTTTTCCCTATGTCATGTGCATATACACCGCGAATACACAATCACAGCCGGTGTAATACCCCTCTGCCAATAACAATGTTTTCAATGTTTGCTTGGGAATTCCCATGGCTGCGAAAGGAAATTCTTTCCACGCAAATTGTCCTTTGCGACGTCGCGTGTCAAAGGAAATTCTTTCCACGCAAATTGTCCTTTGCGACGTCGCGTGTCAATCTCTTTCGAGTTGGGAAACCCCCCCCCCGCTGGAAGTTCAGCGGCGGGGCGTGGTTTCAGGTCGTGTAACTATGCATGTCGGACCCCAAAAAGTGCATGCTCGTTTCGTCAGCGAGTGGCTGCTCTTTGTTGGCGGTTCCACTAAATCGTCCTTGTCCTTTTTCGGGCCTGAGACACCTCGTGGAGGAGGGATCTGTTGCTTCTAAGCTTGCAGAGTTTTTTTAGCACCTTTTCTTAGTTCGCGGAAGGCCAATAGCAGAAAAAAATGCGGAAAAAATGTGTTTCTTTCTATTAGGTTGTCCGGAAATTAATGCCCGTTTTAAATTTCAACCGCACTAAGTCATACACTTCTCACCACTAAATAGGTTGCAAAGTACCATTCGATAGAGCAAAGCAAGCTCTACAAGATGGCCATCTTGCTTTTGCAACAGCTCTCATCCATCTCGAGTTTCGAGCCGAAAACTACAAAGACTCAGCAGTCCGAAAAATCGAAAAAAATCGTAACTCAGTTCATAAAAACCTACAAAAATTCTAACTTGTTCACACAAACACTATCCACATAAGACATCAATATACGCCGCTCCCGTATCTTTTTCTCTGTTAGAAACCAAGAAAACGGAAATTTTCATGCATTTGCCAAAGTGATGCTGTGCCGTCCCCACATAGGTAGTTGTATACCACAAGCCTGTAGAAGTACAGACTTAAATTTCCAGCTCTCTACAAGCTTTAGCTCTCGAGAAATACCGAATATAGCTTTCCCTAGTTAGGTGGTCCAAGCCAAAATTCAAATTTCTCGAGAACTAAAGCTTGTAGAGAGCTGAAAATTTAAGTCTGTACTTCTACAGGCTTGTGGTATACAATTACCTATGTGGGGACGGCACAGCATCACTTCGGCAAATGCATGAAAATTTCCGTTTTCTCGGTTTCTAACAGAGAAAAAATACGGCAACGGCGTATATTGATGTCTTATGTGGATAGTGTTTGCGTGAACAAGTTAGAATTTTTGTAGGTTTTTTATGAACTGAGTTACGATTTTTTCGATTTTTCGGGCTGCTGAGTCTTTTTAGTTTTCGGCTCGAAACTCGAGATGGATGAGAGCTATTGCAAAAGCAAGAAGCCATCTTATAGAGCTTGCTTTGCTCTATCGAATGGTACTTTGCAGTATATCTAGAAATGAAGAGTGTATGACTTATTGCGGTTGAAATTCAAAACGGGCATTAATTTCCGGACAACCTAATAAATCCCCCCCCCCCTCCCACCATTTGCCTCAACCATATCTGAGAATCGGGTAGCGATCAATCTAAATATAACAGCGGAAATATCGTTTTTTTTTCTCCATAATTCAACTAGATAAATGTGTCAGGAACTGCGAAACCCCTGCGTCCTGCTTTAATAAAGGTACCATTTTTTAAGGCTTTTCCCCACTTTTTATATACCTAGACATCCACTTTGGAAGTGGAAGGGAGTTCAGATTCCCGCTTGAAACATATTTCTGTTTACATACCCGCTGAAAAGTTCACTTCTCTGCTGTGCTATCAGAGTTTTCCGTGAGTGCTTGTGATGTTTGTCTATAGGATTCATAGTGGTAGTTTGATATCTCCCTCTTCAGACTTATTTCCAGGGCATACTTTTTCTTTGCTTTATCTACAATCTGCCCTAAGCGTCATTTTTTGGAATTATTGTTCTAAGTCTAAAACATCATTTTTTGTAAGAAAGTGCAATTTGGAAAAGGCGAATAGCCAGCCGTTTCTTCGAAATTTCATCTCTTTTCTTGAATTTTTTTTGAGACTTGAACAGTTTGGAAAAAAATTTTCGTCAGTCCCAGCAATTCCAGCAACTTTCCTGATTTGAACATACCGAAGGAGGAAAAAGGCAAGGTTTGACAATTTGCTTTCGCAGTCCCTCTGCTCCTAGCTTTATTTTCATGGAATGAGATTTCATAATGGTAATTTTAATTGCATAACCCTTCAAAGCGCATTCTAAAGTGTGCTGGGTGTGGTCTTTTGGCAAAGATGTATAAGCGTTCAATAGACATACCCTTTTTTTGTGAGGAAATCTTCCAGATGCAGTTGCAATCATCTCATATCAATCCTTTGCTTTCATTCGTTCTCTCTCTGTTACTTTATGCTTTGGTTTTTGTGCATGCGCTCTTAACCCTTCTCCGACTTCTTCCTCAGAACATCAGAGTTAGTAGCATAGGTAAGATCCGCTTAATCATAATGCATAAAAAATTCCAATCAGCAGTTGTCATCCGAATGTCATCAAAATGTTTGTACTCTTCAAATATTAAGGAGCAATTTCAAAAGTTATGCAGTAATCTGCTCTATAAAATTAGAGGTGAAGGATGTTGGCTATCTTCACTACGTGCTGTTTTTGCACTCATCCATAGTTCTTTTTCTGTCCATGTGTCTTTTCATTTTCGCAAGCATATCATATGGCAAATGGGCGTAGGGAGATCATATCAAAGGTCTCAGTTGGGGATATGATCGCATGAAGCTTTCATATTGTCCCTTGTCTCAGCCCCACACCCACTTCTTGAATTCTTGGCTTCCGCTTCATCTTCCCCGAAGATTACCCAGTAAGGGCTATATTCTTTTGCCTCATTAGGTGCGATTACTTACGTCTGTGCTGGTGACGTGCGACCCTGCTGACCATTTTCTGCAGATTGCTGCAGACATGGAATGTGATAAACAAGTGTCGTCGGCATATAATGATGGTAATCTTTTCCACCAATCAGCCGGACTTATCAAGGGATTTTTCATTGTTTACGTCTCTACATCATCGAATGTGTGATTTTCTGCGATTTATGAATATCTCATAACGTAGATCAAGTTGAACGGGTGGAAATGCCCGATAGGCTAAATTGGATAGCTAATCAGCCCAATTTTCCTGCACACTAATAACATTACTAGAATCTGCAAATTTTCAGCTCTTTTTAAAACAATTTGGATGAAAACTATGAGACCGGAATCGATTGAACGCACGACGTCTTTGGGGTTTGGCTGGTATACTAGGTAGTTGAAATTTTATGTCTTAGTTAACGTAGTTGAATCTTGCTAACCTTTGCCATAACTGTACCGCAAAATGGAATTTCAAATCAAAGCGGAGCTTAGTAACGGTAATAAAAGTTTTTGGAAGATTTCAGCACATTCCAAATCATTTCTTGTAAATTTGAAAAGGAAATTGTTGTGTTATTTCAACTTCATGAAGTTGGTTCTTTTCGAAATCAGACTTATTGATGCAGTGGTGGACTTCTTTCAGCAAAAGATTTCAGAAAGCTTCACTGGAACTGGATTGATCATGATGAATTGCCGTTTTCCGACCAGAAGCTGTATATCAAACTACAAAGTTTCACTAATATTTTTTTCTGTTTGCCTCGAATTTTCAGGGATTGGGAGGTAATTTTTGGTAGTAATGATGTGTCTTTCTGATTTACGTTCGTTCCTTTACTGCCTCTCAATCACTTTTTTCAATCCGCAATTTTATAAACAGCTGTTCCACTCAGTCATCTTATTTTTTAGTTGTGCTGCTGTCAATCACAGCTTCTTTGAGCTTGTGGACTGATAGCATCCTTTACGATGGACGCTCCTAGGTTCTGACTACCTTATGAGTCATGCAGCTTCTCCAGCTTCTCAAGGAAATCCAATTCGCGTTGCCTAAACAACAGTTCCGGGAGCACGTGCTCTATGAGCTCCTGTTTTGCTCGATGTACTTTTTTCTGGAAGAATCTGTCTCGTCTACTATTCAACTAGCTCATGCACTTTCTGCTCTTTCTGGAATATGTGTCATGGGGCTATTTTTGTTGCTGATATCTTTATATATAGTGCAAGCTAAATATATCCATCTTTATGAATAACTATGAGTGTTGGCAACATGACTCAATCATCTGCGGTTCTATAAAAGTGGCTGAAAAACTGAAAACCACTGTATTTTTCTTATTTTTGAAGCAAACCATCTTCTCCTAGTCAGTGTCTGCATTGGAGCAATTTATTATAGTGGTGCATAATTATCTAATCCAAATTCGTGTGCGCTAATTTTCATAAATACTTTCTCTATGACTATGGTTGTGTGATATCGTGACGTAGCAATATTTGTGATTTATGGCCTCTGTTTTTGTGGGAAAAGAATAAAAGGTGGCATGTAATTTTTTCATAAAAGATGAAGAAGTAGTGGGAAGTGCCTAAGGGTAATTCTTATCACCAACCTAAAAGTCTTTCCTAATTTTTTTCAACCTTCGCTGCTGTCCACTTTTTATCGTTCACTTAAAATTCATTCAACTGAGTCCCCCGATATTTTAGATTCGGGGTGGCATTGTAGATGAATGGTGGAGCATTTGCACACAATATGCATCTGTAGTCTGCGATTTATGGACATTTGGCAAATCGCCATATCGCGTGGGAACCGATACGCCCGTGTCTGCTTGGATATTTATGCTTTCGAAGCGATAGATCTCGATCTATGATTCCTTGTTGGTGTCCCAAAGCACGTTTCAATAATTTCTGTCACATTATTAATACTCATTGATCATTCTTTCCGGACTTATGCTAGTTTTTTGCAAAATATCAATAATAAGTTCTTAACGAGTCTGATGTGTCTGGCAAAGGGCAAGAATTGCGCCGTTTGACAAAAAAGTTGCGTACTTTGGTGTCATCAGATAAAAATAATTAGCAGTTTAATTCGTGTCTACTGTCAACTGAGTCGTTTTGCTATGTGCACCATTTGTTTGTCTAGCGTAGCGATCGTTCTTTGCTGTACATAACGATGTGGAAAGTAATTAAAGGCTTCAAATGCAGAAATTGAGCTTCCGAGCTGTCATTTCTCAGCTGTCTGCACTTGTGTGTTAACTCTCAGCTGCAACACCGTTCGTAAGTTTGCATCTCTCGACTTGTAAGTGCGTTGAGGGGTTTTATAAAATTGTGCATTCAAACTTTGGGCAACGGCTGTATGCAGTTATGTGTCTGTTTATGATTATGTTTTCTAGGCCCTTGCTCTATTTCAATCCTTATCAGTCTATCATTGTATCAGGTTGGTGCAAAAGTTTTGTCAGTTTTTCAATCCATCGGCAAAAAGGCTAGAATGAAGATAAACAAACACTTCAAAGTATATCCGATGCAGAATTTCTTCCTCTTTCCAGCTGCAGAACTCCCATTGTGTTTCGTTGCGGGAGTGACGAGATATTTGCTGGAAATGGCAACCACTCGTTTTTGCCATGCCCAACTTTCGCCAATTTTCAAAATTTTTGTATGAGACTTTAGGAGGAGCTTCAATAGCCAGCAGATAGGAAGAACCTTTTGCCAACTAGTGCAATTTTTTGTAGCCCTACGGCTTGTCTTTCAGAAAGTCTACGATTTATTTTTTGAAGTGACCAAATTTTACTCTCAGCCTATTTTAACCTCGTGGAACATAAAATGTTAAACACTTCAGTCACCATTGGATGCAAATTTTACTCCTTTTTTAACACTTGTCTTTTTTCGCCTAGACAGGCGAAATTTGTAGGGGAAATTGCAGTATTTTTTAATTTCTGGAGTGCGCAATGACGTAACCTATATTTCAAAATCTTCATAATTTGAACGAAAATCGCTCGTTTACTTTGTAATGGTAGCAGTTGTAATAATCGTGTGTTGAAACCTCAGCATTCTGTAGGTTTTGCAGTGTTTGGTACAATGAAAGGTTATGCGATTTTTCCAAAACACAAGACTTTTGAAAAATTATTTAGCAAAAATCTGAAAGAGCAGCTGAAAGAAAGAAAAAAATTGCACAAGTTGGCAAAAGGTTTGCCCCATCTGGTGGTTATTAGAATCCCTCCGAAAGTCTCATCCAAAAATTTTGAAAATTAGTGAAAGTTGGACACGGTAAAATCGAATGGTTGCAATTTCCAGCAAATATCTTAGCACTCCCGCAACGAAACACAATGTGAGTTTAGCTGCTGGAAAGAGGAAGAAATTCTGCATCGGATACATTTTGAAATCTTTGTTTATCTTCATTCTAGCGTGTTTGCCGATGGATTGAAAAAAATGACAAAATTTTTGCACCAACCTAACATGTAACTAAAATGCGAATTCCAAATTGCATCTTTATGCTATTTTCCTCTCAGGATCGCACAAAACTTGCGCAATTCCGCGCTGGATTATTCAGCAAGAAAATTTCTAGGCGTCTGCACAGCCATGAAACTGTAACCGATCACACGTTGAATTGAACCGTGAATGTCTAGCTTTTTGCGCGTCTCGCTGATGTCATTGTTTGCGCTGAGATCGAATGTGTTATGCCGGTTTTATTCCTCTAAAAAAGTCCGTAATTACAGATGACAGCCGCAGCTCCGCAGCAACAACAGTTTGCGCTTTTCCGTAAATTTAGCAGTGAAGTGCGACCACCACCGATGCTAAGACGAGATGATCGGATTCGATCGATGACGTGTTCATTTGAAGAGATTGCTGAGTCGGAGGAGGAGGAGGATATCCAAGTGAGAAAAACTGAGAAAAGTTTTTGCCAATCTCTAAAATATACGAAAAGATTGTGTGATTTGCTTTAGTCAAACACCCGTCATATCATTTGGTCCTCACTTTGCCCTTTAATTCCAATAACACCTTTTTCAGCTCCCTGAACGAACCTCACTAGAAGGACGTTCGCCTTTTGCGGTCATTGGTGAATCCCCTTTTGCCGAAAAACGCGCAGCCTCCCCGCAGAGCCAAAGCCCAACTTACGCGAGGTACGCAAATGCACCACAGCTAGTAATCACCGTAGCACACTGTATCCTTTCTAGAAAACTCAGTGCATCTCGACTTTGCCGTGGATTATCGGGTCCAGGCCTACATCGTCGACCAGCTATACTTGGATCTCTAAGTCCGGAACGACATGATGCTGGATCGGATTTTTTGAGTGAGTCAATTATTGTCAATTTGTCGAAAGAGGATTTTATTGCAAAAAAGTCAGAAAAGTTCTGGTATCCTCTATAAAGCACTTGATTGAGGTCTTTTGTTTTAATATCATGCAGAGCGGTGTGAAACAAACCCTGAGTGTTTTACTCATCAATTCTCCATTTCAGCCCTTCCATCGATCCCAGAAACAGCCTCATCATGATCTGATCACAGTCACCAAGAAAGTTTAACTGAGCAGAGGATCATTGAATTATCGTTCGCTCAGATGTCAGCTGAAGCGTCAGAAGACAAAACTGAATGACCATGAACTTCTCTGTGAGAATTTTATTTATGAAATCGAGTACCTACACATTGCTCTTGTGATGAACTTTCCTGACCTACCCCTGCTAGTCCGATTTCGATCAGTCTTCCAATAAGCAACGAATTCTTTACCTCTACGATCTCTTGCTAGTCTTTAGATTTTGACCAGCGTTTTTCTGTTTTTCCCAATTGTAAGTGCTATGCAACAAATTTGATTAATGCATAACAACAGTCCCCAACAGATTGTTTTCCATATTTGATTGTTCCATGTATATCCATGAATGTATTTTTCGGGTTTTATCCAGAGCCTTGAATAATTTTCATGCGGGTTTAGGATTAATAACGTGATATTTGTTGTGTATCTCTAATAAAATTTCCAAATTACGTGTGTCGCTTTTTAAAAGTTTTGACAAGTGTCTCTGTCTGCGCAAGCATGGATTTGTTCAGAACATTTCTGAGAAAGCAATGAAGGCCGACTACGAATACAGAAAATTCACTATTCAGAATGTTTATAACATAAAAGAACCTCGAATCTGCTGTGGTATTATGCTGACATTCACTAAATTTTTATAGGCAGGCTAACCTCTAGAAATATGTTCACAAGGGTAACGTTTAGTCTTTTGAAGTGGTCTTTTCAGATGGGATGTGTACCATACTTGAGAGCAAAAAATGCTTCCAAATTTGCATTCCTCATCTGCGGAACGTTTGTGGACGAGGAGTTATGAGCTTTTATTGTAACAAGAAGGAAAAGTGCGTTTGGGATAAAATGAGTTGCTAAATTTTCCCTAGCCCTTCAATAAAGCAACCAAGTGTGACAATTTTTTTCCTAGAGTATTTATTGACTGAATTGCTTTGAAAATCATTGCTGCTCCATTGAAGCGCTAGAAAAAATATTACGACAGTTTGCGTCTTATTTGCACATGCAATTTTTTGCTTTAATAAAAGCTCATAACTCTTGGTATACGATCTTGAAAGTTAGAAAGGCATTTTTGGAATCAGCGTTTCATGTTACTCAATATGGATTACATCCCATCTAAAAAGGCCACTTGGACTGAACATGGTTTCCTTGTCAGGAATTCCGACTCATAAACAAATGCATTCACAGCCCTTCATTGGTTCATACTGTTATATGCTTTCACTTAAATCACCAATTTTTATGCATAGTTGGAAAGGAATAAGAGCAAAAGAACTGGATTTTTATTAAGTTGGCTAATAAATAAGTTCGTTTTGGCATGCAAATTCAAAGTTTCATAACAATTCACGTAACAGCTATTCAGCTAAGATTTTTTGTGAGATGATAGCCTCAAGCCTCTACTCTTAAATATTAATTGTTCAAGATTTTCTGTTACCAAAAAATGACAGTTATAACCTTATATGGTCAGACTTCTGAAAAATCCCTTTTTTTCAATTTCTAGCTTTCGTTCTCAGCCTGCAGTGAGTACACAGGCGAGTAATTTGTGGCTGGATACATACAGCCTGTGGCTAGGTGGCGAACCACAATAGAGGTTGTGACCTGCTGTTTCTGAATTTCTGCAGTCAAAATTGTGAGAATTTCCAGGCATTTGTGCGTGAAGGTCAAATTTTGAGCATTCCAGATAACTCGAATTTGGCCATCTATGGCCAAATTCGAGTTATCGTATGGTTGAAAACTACACTTTACACCTAACTTCAGTTCGTTTTTCGGAGCCTGATTTTTCGAAATTTTGAGGAAAAAATCTTATCGATTTCTTTCCTTGACCATTTCGTTATCAGAAAAATTACTTTTAAGAAAACAGATTCAACTATCCGATTCTCCTTGATCTGCTCTTTCTAGTGGTACCATACATGCACACAAAAACTGATTTGTGACAATTCTAGAAACCGCTAAAAACGACCAAACTTATTTTTTAGCCAACCTAATCGTTTACTTTAAGCTGGCTTCACGTCGAAAATTGAAGGATATTTTTGTTGTGAGAGTATTAGTTTCAAACCATTGCTGGATTCTGATACGCACGCAGCTCGAAATTGTTTAATCCAAAAAAGTCGGTTTGTGTTGTGGTCAAGAGACACTGCAGACAAACTGCTATAGTCAACAGTTTCTTCTGTTTTCGCCCAGATTCTTGAAATTTTTTTGCATCTTTGGGAATTTGTCTCTCTATTTCTGAAACATGGCAAAGTCGCATCCCCAATTCTCATACCCGGTTGTGTGATCCTGAAGTTGATAATATTGTTGATGCATGATAACTGCAGAAAATTTCTGCAAATATCGTGATTTTCTCCATGATGATGTTTGATTTGATAAGCTATAGAAAGACAACTCTCGCACTATCCATAATTGCTTACATCAAAGTTCTTTTTTGGCATAAGGCAATAATATAAGCTGCTCAAGGGGAACATCAGACAGTGATGTGATTTTTGATTGCTAAAGTTATTAATCTTCTTTCAAGATCTAGGTAGTTTTGTTTTGCTCTCTTGACCTGGTTTTTCTATCCATGGAAAGTTGTTGCTGATCTGTTGCCTTTACGATCTACGGTTATTCAGCTATCTAATGTTGGCTGTACCAAATTCTTCAAAATATGTAAAGAAATAAGCATTCATCATAGGTTATAAAAATTATAACACATGATGTATCAAGCTTTCAAAATGAACTTGGAACGCTTTTATTTTCTTGTTAAAAAACTTATGCATCAGCCAGGTAGAGCTGGTTGATGTTTGAAAAAATTTTGATTTCGATCTCAAAAATTTCAGGTTACATTCCTGATAATTGGTTGGCTGTGTGCCGTGCTTGAGTTCTTTTATTCAGGTCTTTTGGCCAAGTTTATCTTCAGCATAATTCTGATTTGCTTAAAAAATTCACGCTGCTATTTGTTATCGCGGTCTTCTACAAAGGCATTTGCCGAGGTTTTTTGATCTTTTTATTTCAAAGTCGGTGTAATACTGTTCGGCGACGTCAAAAAGAGGACAAACATTAAGCACGAACAGCTTTGCAAACACAAAATAGCTCGTTCGACAAGAGTCGAGTGTAAAGTGGTCTGTTTGACCTCAATATACTTCCTGGAAGTCGAAAAAGGACTCGATTCGCGAATTTTAGGTATAAGATCTGTTCTCTTCATCCCACTAAAACAGAAAAAGACAAATTTCATCAAAAAATTTCAAAATTTGTAAGAAAAATTGAATATAGACTGCTCGAAAAAGGCGTAAGATTCCATTCATGCAAAAGATTTCCTTTACCTTCATTTGCTATTATTCTGCGTACCGTAGTCGCTCGCTTGATGCTCAATGATACAGGGTGTCCCAAAAAGATGTGCACACTGTTTGATCATTAATAACTCTCCCGCTTTCATGTCTTTTGCCGAGCTTGAGGCGTCATTCTTTAGACCGAGGTTCAACTTAGATTTACAGTGTGGAGCGAATCACTAATCACTCTTCATTACTGTAGGATTACGGTAGGAAGTTCGAGAAGGATTTTGAGCCATTGAAAGCGGTGTTTTGCCGGTAATTTGCCTCAGAAAGAAAGCCAAACAAGCCAGAAACTCTTGAATGGGCTAAACGAAGACGCTGAGTCCAAACATGAAATTTGCACTTTAGTATAGTGCTTCTTTCATAAGTTATTTCAAATTTAGGGTAATAACTGTTTTTCCAATGTTCATCAGAAGTGTTGTACGCCATCGAGAAAACTCGAAAAACTTATGAAAAGTCATGTAGTGAGATCAGCACGCCTAAAAACCTTGCCACACAAATTTTCAGATTTTTTAAAAATTATTTTATCAAAAGGTCTATTTTACAGTGACTGTATGCTGAAAGTTCATACCGTAATCCTACAGTAATGAAGAGCGATTGATGATTCGCTCCACACTGCAAATCTAAGTTGAACCTCGGTCTACAGAACGGCACCTTGAGCTCGGCAAAAGACATGAAAGCAGGAGAGTTAATAACGATCAAACAGTGTGCACATCTGGGACACCCTGTAGAACCAAATTTAGGAATTTGCTGAAACAAATCTCAAGTACTCACTTTAAGTTTAAACCGTTTGTACGTTGTAAAAAAGAGCAGATCAAGGCTTCATTATCACTTTGCTTTGCGCACAATAGCGAACTATTGGAATAACTCGTAAACCCTGTATCATTTTCAGTCTATTTTGTTTTCATTTTCAGTCTTCTTTATCTTGCTTGTTCCCTTTATCAATGAAACATATCGAAGTGATGTTCGTAGCACTTTGGTCTGGCCGTGTATGAAGTAGAATGGTGTAAAATGCTAATATCCTTAAGAATAGATGAGGGCCATGACGGCTGCACAGAATAAATGAGAAATTGAGCTAGAAGTCTCTGAAAACTCAATTAGACTGAGAAGGCATCATATAGAACAAAAAAAATCGCATGATGCATGATTGTTTGAACGATGCGTCGCTTAAGAATCCTCTCCTTTTCTGAGTCCATCCAACATCATGCGCTCTTCTCAATATCCTACGCCATCTCCAAGGATTCCAGTCGAATTGTCCTTGAATTTCCCAGTCCTGAAGTCTTTGGAAAGGACGTAATGAATAGCCATTGCAATTACTGTATCTAGTAGTTTTGATTAGTATTAGTCCTTCTAATTTTTGGAGTTTGTGGCCAAAGCTTCTTATCTCATTTGGCAAATTATTTCGTCCCAAAATGTCAAACTTCGCACTTTCTCTTTTGCTTCGAGTCGAGTGAACTTGTTTCTGAAACTTTCTTCCGGCATCACTCTTCATCTTCCCTTCCATTCGTTATACTTCCCCCAAACATTTGACGTCTCTTAATGCACTCAAACATCTTCTAGCGTCGCTGTTTCTCCAAGACCACTCCCACTCTTCAATCTCTAGCCAATTATTCTAAGTTCTTGATATGTACTCTGCAGGACTTACTTCGAAATATTTCCTTCACGCTCTCTTTTTTCGAAATTACATCAACCTTGTGTCCACAGTTTTCCTCTTACACAGTTAGCCTGTCGAAGCTTCTTAAAACCTCTTACGCCTAAAGACAGCATGTTTGAACATCCTCGCCTATGAGGAAGAAAAAGGGCAGCTCAAAATAAAGCTCCATTTTTCAAAGATTTAAAGATGAACTCGGACATAACCCTGCCTAACCTTTTCCACATATTTCCGTTACCCCCCCCCTACTATGATTCAATCGAACAGGCGTAATATTGTAAAGGCTGTCCGTGCTTGAAGCAATCTCGTTGTCACTATTTTAATAATTAATTCGTTCTTATAGAAAACTGCTCAGCGATGGAAAGATAACCAAAAGCTTTTTAACACGTTTCGGACCGGTGCTGCACATGGTGCAGCACGCTGCTTTGAAGGATCTTTCTGACGTTTACAGGGGGTTTTCTTCTAGTTCAAGGTTATTATGTCAAAGGTCTAAGCTCCTACTTTTCAAATGACTCCATGGAGCTGAGCCGCCGATATTTGTTTAGGAGATATAGCACAAATTGAACAACAGTTGCAACGAAGTGTGACAACGCGAACGACGCGTGCGACGTCGCAACTTCTCTTTGCTTAGATTTCAAAGAAAAAAAACCGTAGTTTCATTAATGATGTGTACAGTGTACTACACAGATACTTTTAAATGCTAACTGAAACCGAATTCTTGTTCCTATTTTTCAATAAAGCACGAAAGTTCCTCTCAAACGACAAAATTCAAACACTTCAAATTCACTCAGAACTTCAGATATGGAGCTTATTTGACATGCTGATCACAGATCCAGCCCACAGCCTGCAAAATAAGGCCCCTTTGTTGGCTAACTGCTGAAAGTACACTCTTTTTCGCCGCGCGCGATTTCGCGGTCCGAAACGTGTTAATCTCCACATAAAAAAAATAATGACTTTGGAGAAACGATCAGCAGGAAGACAACGAATTATTCAGAAAGATGGAAAATGCGGCCTTTACTGATGTTTCTGTTCAATGCATTCACAGCAAGGGTAGTTAAAACACAAAATGGCTAGCAACATGAAAACAGCACTCTTGGAGCTTTAAGGTATGAAGCTTTTTTTCAAGCTGCATACTTCTTCGAGCTGCGTACCCTATCCAACAGGTAGCATGCGTTCCTGAATTTATCCTGATCCCTCCACCCTCTTCCTCAAATTTGAATCTGCTCAAAAACAGATCAAAGTATCTCAAAGAAAATCTTAGCTTTTTAAAGAAGTGCAAATTCTTATCCAGTGGGCGCATAAATTTTGTGTGGCATTAGCCATAAAGAGAACTATACAGCTCAACGGATACAATGAATTTCGGCAGCCAGTTTTCGCTAAGTGCAATCACTTCGATGTAGATCGTTTCAGTACTTTGCATAATGAAAAATATGGTTAAATTTACATCAAAAAGTTTAATTGGAACCCTTAACTATCTGATAATTGACGTGTTAGAATCTGTACAAATTGGATGTAATTTTTCTTATAACGGTGTCTGGCAGAAAGGGCTAGAGACGATGTTGCTTATGGCGGACGAAAGTGCATTGTGATCAACATCTGAGAAAACGAATTCAAAGAACGTCTACTGCTGAAGTGTATCGGTGGGTGCTTCTTCGGAAAAAAATAACTGTAAATTTCGTTTTAAGTATGTCAAATTTCCCCAGAAGATCAGCTGTTCTCACCATACAATACCGCTCACAGAATGTGCAAAATTTCCGTAAATGTCGCAGAATTCCGAAAATTCCGCGAAGGTTCGCGAGATTCCAGGAATTTTGCGACATTCGCGGAATTTCGCGACATTCCCGAAATTTCGCGAAATTCATGTAAATCACGCAAATTACGCAGGGCCATAACTTCGTTCCGAATGAGTATATTCAAAATCCGAAAACAGCATTGTATTCAGCTCGTCAAGGCGAATCTTTTGGTATACAGGTTGTCTCCAATATCCTCTTTTCAATAATCTTGAATCTGCATGCGGACGCCTTTTCGCGTGGGTGTAACGCAACAAGCATCACACATAGGAGATTGCGGCGGGTACCCTTCGATAGTACTCTTTCAGTAGATTATTCTGCGCTAAACATCAGCCGAAGAGTCTCTTTTAAAAGAGATAGAAGAGCTGATAAACTCTGGAAAAATCAAGCTGTTCCAAGTTCTACTAGCCGTAACTTCCTTCAGAATGAACATCTTCGAAATCCGAAAGCAGCATTGTGTCAACTCGTCAAGGCGAATCTTCCGGTATGCAACATGTCCTTGAAATTCCGTTTCCAATTTTTTCAAAATTTTCTGCGCGCGTATACTCGCGAGGTCGCAACGCAGCGCACATCAAACATAAAAGATGCAATAAGCACTATTGGATTGTGCTGCTTTCGCAGATTACCGAGCGCTAAAAACAAACCGAAGAATCTTTTTCAAAAAGGATAGAAGAGCTGGTGAATTCTGGAAAAATCGTGTTGTCTCAAATTTTGCCCACCGTGGCCCTAAAATGAGAAGCTCTACTGCTAAGCAGATGTGATTTTCGTAATCAACAGGTCAGATAACCTTTATGAGCAAGTTTTCAAAGAAATTCGGGTGATTTGATTTTCTCTCGTTCTACGCCCTGAAGCTCGCCGATGGGTTTTGGTCAAAATGTCGATGATCTCGGATTATAAGGAAACTTCGCTCAAAGAGGTTATCTGACCTGCTGATTACGAAAATCACATCTGCTTAGCAGTAGAGCTTCTCATTTTAGGGCCACGGTGGGCAAAATTTGAGACAACACGATTTTTCCAGAATTCACCAGCTCTTCTATCTTTTTTGAAAAAGATTCTTCGGTTTGTTTTTAGCGCTCGGTAATCTGCGAAAGCAGCACAATCCAATAGTGCTTATTGGAGTCTTTTATGTTTGATGTGCGCTGCGTTGCGACCTTGCGAATATACGCGCGCAGAAAATTTTGAAAAAATTGGAAATGGAATTTCAAGGACATGCTGTATACCGAAAGATTCGCCTTAACGAGCTGAACACAATACTGTTCTCGGATTTCGAAGATGTTCATTCTGAAGGAAGTTACGGCTAGTAGAACTTGGAACAGCTTGATTTTTCCAGAGTTTATCAGCTCTTCTATCTCTTTTAAAAGAGAGTCTTCGGCTGATGTTTAGCGCAGAATAATCTACTGAAAGAGTACTATCGAAGGGTACCCGCCGCAATCTCCTATGTGTGATGCTTGTTGCGTTACACCCACGCGAAAAGGCGTCCGCATGCAGATTCAAGATTATTGAAAAGAGGATATTGGAGACAACGTGTATACCAAAAGATTCGCCTTGACGAGCTGAATACAATGCTGTTTTCGGATTTTGAATATACTCATTCGGAACGAAGTTATGGCCCTGCGTAATTTGCGTGATTTACATGAATGTCGCGAAATTCCGGGAATGTCGCAAAATTTCCGGAATTTCACGAACCTTCGCGGAACGGAATTCTGCGACATTTACGGAGATTCTGCACATTCTGTGAGCGGTATTGTAATCAATGAAGAGCTTTAAGTCTATTCGCTGATGTTCAAACATCTGAGCGTATTTTCAAAAATTACCCACAACTAATTAGGAAAGTTAGCATACCACTAAGGAATCTTCAGGGTTTTTGCTTTTTTGCTATTTGTTGCAGATTCTTGTGAAAAACAATGATAATTTTCTGCTCTACGAGCCGAACTTCACTGCTTCTTCAAAAAAGTCTTGAACATGATCCTTCTTGCATCACAGACAGACACGCCACTCTTTATTATCTTCAACACAGTACAAATCAAAAATTTATCAAAAATACGCAACAACCACGTTCTTCAATCCTAGACCCGCACAGAAGTTATTCAAGGCTTTAGTTGAAACCCGAAGAATACACTCATAAAAATCTACGGAAAAGTCAGATATGGATGAACTATGTAGAAATTGTTTGCATGAATCAAACAAAAAAGACTAAGTAGGATTAAGGCTCTACTATCAACCCGAAGACGCATCTAAGACAAAGTCGCAATCGTTCACAAAATAATTAGAGCTCGAAATAGATTTTTAAAAGGAACAGTTGTCCAACAACAAGAGACTAGAAAGAGATCACAAATGTGAAAATGTTCGTATCATCAGAACGTTGACTGACAGAATAGACTAGCTTTTCGAGTGAAGAGATAAAATTCTGTGAAATACAGTCAACAGGAAGCGTTCGCTCTTTTGTATAAACAGATGTAGTGGTGTGGCTTTGTCGTAGAGAAAACTTTACGGTCCTAATTGTAAAGTCAGCTAATAGCTCAGCTGAGGTGAGCAAGTAATGAGAGAACTCGGATAATTACTGCTAGACCTCGTTGCAATCATCTTTGCAATCAGCTGATGAGCTGGCAGCTTCTGGGATGGGTGGAAGGGCTGAAAACAGATAAAAAAAATTATAGCTAAATCAAGTCATTAGTTACGTATGGTTATAAATATACAACAAAATTTGCATAGCCGTCTAACTCACTTATACAGAAGCTGAAATTATAATACACTAGATGGCAAACCCGGCTCCGCCCGGGACCAAACTTTGCACACATACACTTCGGGGCAGGGAGCGTGTCATAGTCTACTTTTCGTTATCGATCGATGTCGATTTTACCGATTTTTTGCAAAATTTGAGCTAGGGGGCTAGGATTTTGCACAGGGGGGTAATTGAGCATAGCTCAAATTTTGCAAAAAATCGATAAAATCGATATTGATCGATAACGAAAAGTAGCCTATGACACGCTCCCTGCCCCGAAGTATATGTGTGCCAAGTTTGGTCCAAATCGGTTCAAAAATAAAAATTTCTATTCCGCACATACGTACAGACATACAGAGACAGACATACAGACAGACATACAGACATTCAACTTTATATATAAGATTTGACTTTGAAAAGGGGTTAGCTGATTGTTTTAAAAATTCAAAACTTATTTCGCAATAACAGCGCTTTTCTACAAACATTTCAACAATCATCCAAGATGCTAAGAGAAAAAATGTAGCCCTAAAGGACCGCAGACAGAAATTGGAAATCAAAATTCTATTTTTCAAATCATTTCTTCTTCAGTGAAACTCAGAGTTGAATGAATTACTGTTGTTGCTTTATTCATTTTTTGGGTAAAGCAGCGGTAATGATACAATTACAAAAAAAACCAGATGAAAGTAAATTTAGCAAATCGTTTAATGATTTTTTTTACTTCGTGTAAAAACCGTAGCACAACGGTTCAATACATCAGTCACGAAATAATTTTTGACCACTAGACAGAAACGTTTGATTATCAAATTTCATGCAAATGCGATGTAAATCTTTTGAATATTAAACGACGGAAAAGAAGTCATTGCGATGAAGTTTTTTTCATGTCCATAAAGTATGTGTCTTCCAAAACCTCCAAAGAGAAAAAACTTACTCAGCAGGTCTGATCCAGCTTCATGTCGATCCGGACTTAATGAACCAAACATCGTTGACGTTGGTCGACGACGAGGGCCCGGATCCGAAAATCCACGACACAGTCGGGGTGCATTGAGTTTTCTATAGGGAATACTGTAGAGTACCGTAATTGCGTAGTAGTGCATTTGCGTACCTCGCATAGACGGGGCTCAAGTTTCGAGGAGAACTTCCGCGTCCTTCAGCGAACGGTGACTCAGCCACGGCAAATGGCGATCGCCCCTCGGGGGAAGCTCGTTCTGGGAGCTGTAAAAAAAAGAAAATAATTAAGATAGATGCCACAACATTACAGTTCAATGAAAATAGTGCGTAAAAAAGATAAATTATTTAGGATAAAGGTGAAAAGCGAAATTTTTTGAGAATGTGGCATATAAAGAAAAAAATAGCGAGGAAATTGAGGAGAGACAGAAGTAGAAGAAAAGAGACGCCCTTATTCATGATTCAGCTATAATCGGTACTTCGAACTACACTATAATTTGTGATATCTTTTCCAATAAGAATTTGCTATTTGCATACAACCCAAACTCACTTCCCCCTCCCCACTCCCCTAACCCCACCAATGTTCTGCTTGCTTTATGACATGTTAAACAACTCATATCTCAATATGTTTGCGCTTTGGAACCCCCAGCCGCCAATTCCGCGAGTTCCTCGTTCCAGCAAAACATTTGAAAATTTCGAATTCAAATTTTAGAATATTCAAAATTCTGTAGCAAATAAGTGTCCTCTACCTGGCATTATTTGATGGGTGTGTCTTCAAAAAATGCGTCACCAAAAAATTACGACATTGCTAGCTGTCCAGAAAAATTCGTCATGTGTTCATGATGGTTATATAAAAACATAGTGAACTTTTCAAAACATAAAGGATGACGATGATAGCAAAAGACAAAGTGTTTCACCAGTTTCACATTTAAATCATAAAGGCACTTGCTCCAAATTTTCATATCTATTATATATATTCGTGTACAGAAAATGATCGCCCTATGTGTACGTCTAGACACCATTTCACATAATTACGTGAAAAAGAGGGTTGGACAGAAAGATGAAAAGACAGTAATTCTGATTTATCCCTTTCAACCATATTTACCTGATTATCCTCTTCTTCTGACTCAGCAATCTCTTCAAAAGAACAATTCATCGAACGGATGCGCTCATCTCGTCGTACCAATGGCGGTGGTCGAACTTCGGTGCTGAACTTGCGGAACAGCGTGAATTGTCGTTGTTGTGGGTTTGCGGTTGTCATCTGTAATTGCGGACTTTTTATGAAGCGAATTATCGTTACACGTAAAGTGTTCCCTACTCGAACAACGACATCAGCGAGACGAGGAAAAAGAGGCTTTCATTGTTCTGAATGAGATCATATGAATATTGGTGACTGAGAAAAAAAAGTTACAAAAAGAAGGGGAAGGAGGTGAAGTACGGAAAGTGAAAACTAGAGAGGTAGACGGTTTTTTTTTGGAAATCGTTTTTCTGTAACTAGTCATTCACTTAAAAAAAGAAAAGAATAAGATAGATGATTTTTTGCGGTGACTTTCCTCCATTGTAAGAATGATGACACCGAAAAGGGATGTAACGCTCTGGCCAGAGTTCGCTCCAAAACGCCGCCCAAAAGCGTCCAAATTTGTCTAATTCTCTCGTCATTCCTTACACGAAAAAGTGAAAGGACACTAGAGAAAATTGGGCGCTTTTGGGTAAAGTCTGGCCAGGGCTTAATACAGAAAAGGCGTTTGAAGTCACGCAAAATTAAGCCCAAAGACTGTCAGCAACTATCTATGTACGCAAAATTGCGTGGTTAACTGTTTTGCGTGGTGACCTTTTAGCGACAAACTGAGCGCTCTGTAAAATTATTTCGGAAAAAGAAACGTAGATGAACAGAAGTTCTACAATACGCTGAGCATGCAAGTATTCCTATCCAAGCAAAACGAAAATTGCCTACATGACATCCAGAACTTGTAGAGCATGATCGCACAATTTCATGGAAATCCATCATCATGTCAGCTAGAACAAGCAGCAAGAGAAAACCCTGCTAATGTAGTGATGAGTAAAAAGCTATATTACTGGAAACTACAATCGTAGATTTTTTGGGTTTTCACCTTTTCAAATCCTCAAGAAATTCTTATTCTAAGAAACTATGAAATGGATCGAATTTTATGAGTAAAATGAAAAATATGTCGCTTTCAGAGCATTTTACCATCTTACAACTTAGTATTACCGCTACCACAAATTTCAAAACTAGTTTCGAATACCAGAGTTTCGCTCTTAAAATTTATTCTGAAAAAAGGGTCTTGCTCACTTATAAGACAATGATTAGCGTTTCTTTGAAAAACACTAGAATAGTATGTTAAAAGTTATGTCCGCAAAAAACCCATGGAGAAAGAATTTTTGGAATAATAAGAGTTGCAGAAACATCAATATCAATGGTGAAACTATTAGTTACAACAGCTCTAACTGATAAAATATAAAAAATCAAGAGGCATTGAAAGAGAAGAAAGAAAAGGATGGAAAAATGCTCTATTTTGAGCTGCTCTAGTTGCTAATGCTCTCTAATGCTCTATTTTAATTTGCTCTATTTTTTTGCTCTATTTCTGCCAAAATCTTATTGCAAGGAGCTTTGAAGCAAAAAATTGATGAGAAGACAGTTGACTCTGAAATAATCACTACCATCAAGTTGATATATGTGTGTGGGAATATTTTGGATTGACCCACCTATCGATAGTAACATATGCTACCAAGAGCAAATGTGGGGTTCTGAATTGCGGAAGTGTCAGCAACACTGGCACTATACAAAATTGCTACAAATTAGCTTCTATAACTACAAAAACAGCCCCTATAACATGTAAATAGTTCCCAACAAGAAGGATGGAAGTACGTGAGCACCATGAACATAGACTGAATGAATCGTCAAATAATGCACCAGGGCTCGGCCAAAAGCAAAATTCCAGAACTGTGATGTAGGAAAAAGTAAATGGGAAATTCTCGAAGAAAATGATGAAATCAAATTATTTATAAGGCAGACCATGGCTGAATACTCGTCGGAGAAGATGTGATTAGTTTCACATGCTTGAAAGAGCTCTGACTGACAGTTGGAGGGTAAAAAGTATGAAAGATGATTGATTGATTGGAACAGGTGTCGATAAGAACTCATGTTTCAGGAAAAGTATAAGCAAAAGTATAAGCATAAGGTGGAGGATTATATACCTATATGATCTATCAATTCAATCTTCAGCAACAAAAGGGAGTTTTCGGAGTTCTAGTGATAATTTTCTGACTCGCATTATGAAAATTAGGATGCTGGACTGCACAAATTCCAGTGTCACAAACTCAGACGATTCACCGGAACTTCCGCAGGACAAGCAGAATTTGCAGCGGTTCCGCAGAACTATCTTCAGTGAAAGAGTGCACGCTTCATTACGCAGAGTTTCCGCAGGAAATTGACGTCAGAGCGATCGTAAACCGGAACTTCCGCAGCACTTTCCACAATGCGCTGCGAAAATGCAATAAAATCGTAAGGTTTATATTAAGGTTTATATCAAGAAATTTAGATTATCAAAAAAAAGAACAAAAGTATAGACTTCAAACCCTTCAGAAATTTCAGAATTTTAGCTTTATCGAGATTTTGCCTATATTATTGGCTCCAGAGAGATTCTACTCGAGAGAGATGTTGGAATAAACGCCTCCCACATGGATTACCAAAAGCAAATTACATTGTAGGCTTTTATACGATCAAATCAAGGTATTTTGACCTTGCACATCTTGTTCCAGACGAAAAATCCAAAACCTACACTGCATCTGAATCAACAGCTATTCGGTTTTGGTAAGGTGGTGGTTTCTGCTCACCTCGTGTTCGCTCCCATGAAGTGATAAGCAATTGTTCGACAGAAAACTATGGTTGCTGATTTGCTTTAAGAGTGTCTGAGAATTTGAGGGCTATTAGGAGCAAGCAAAAAAAAAACGCCATGTAGTCATTCCAGGCTCAAAATTCGGGTATTTTTCTGCAGAATTTTGCAGGAAATAGTCAGCAACTCAGCATTTGACCAGTAGAAATAAAAGTTATAATGACTAAAGATTTACCAGGATATATGCTTGAGAGTTTCAGAAGTCAGAAAGGAAGCCAGAAGGCACGAAAAGTAGATGAATATAGTTACATGCAGGCTTACATACTATATCATAGGTTAGAGGCTAGTATTATTGTTACGAAAAACAAGAACCAGGCAACTATTACAAAGGGGAAAAACACATTAGGCGGCGAAATTCATGCCGCATTAGGACTAAATTTTGACAGAATGCCATTGAGCGTAATTCTAATCGTAGATGTTAAGAAATGCAAAGATTGTTTTTGAGTTATCTGAATTCGAGAACTCGACGATTTCGTGATGATTTTTTCCGCAAAAAAAACATAAATAACTGGTATGTTACGAGTAGCTTTGTAAAGAAAGAAATGTTTGTAAGAACGTCAAAAAAGTGAAAAAACTAAGTCGAAATGCAAATTATATCCTTTGAATCATAACATTTTGTTTACCCAATGACTGCCACATTGGCACCCCTATTCTAACTATTATTAGTGTTCCGAAATAACATTTTAAGGACGTTTCCAGGCTATTAGCTCTCACATTAGCGCACTACTAGTGCAATTACGTAATTAGGCGGTTGAGCATGAGTGCAGCTCATGCGATAGTATTTCACAGTGAAATACGAGAAACAATTGACAGCTTGAACTAGACAAACCGCACGTTCAGTGCAAATGGTGTAATTACACACTGCAGTTCCGTCAACGCTCAAAAAAGTCAGTCCTAGTTGTGGTTTTGAAAGAAGAGCAGTTGTAGCTTCAGGAAACACTAATTTACAAGGAAAAAGGGGGGGGGGGGGAAAGAGAGGAGTCAGCAGAGACGGGGAGCAGCAAGAACAATAATAGCGAATAATAATAGCGACAGCCACTAAATTCTGCGTCACACCATTTTCTCTGCAAGAATTTCTGATTTCTAGACGCAGACGTTTTTTTTTTGATGCCACAGCTGACACCTATTCGAAACGCTCATTTTCTGTGACTCCTATGGCGAAATCACACGTAACATTTTGGTTTCTGCTATGAATCACGAAACATAAGATTTTATCGAAGATTGCTGCATTTTAGGCAGCAATGAAAAAAGAAGTTGATAAATTGATCTTTCTCCCCCCCCCCCCCCGCTCTCCTGTTCTGTTCCCCCCCCCCCCCCACCTTTCCCTTTTTTGGGGAAACACTAAAATAAATCTAACAGCATAGTACTTGCAAATTTGAAGGTATAACTGTTTTTTTTCGCAAGTATATGGCATGCATTCTCACTACAACTTAACTAACTTCGATTTTAAGCTGTGAAGAATTTTTGAAATATGTATTTGACGATACATAATGGTTGTACTAATTACAGTAAAAGAAAAAAGGGGCTGAAAATTATTAGATGGAAGTTTCCCACTTGAAAATTTTGTTCTAGGGGAGGTGGTTGACTAGATTGAATCAACTTTTCAACAGACGTCTCACAAATACCTTTTTCTACTCTCTAAAGTGAATTTTCCTCTGAATTCTAGAATTATTTTATTGACCACCTCGTGACTGCTCCACAATGCGGAAAAATTCAAAAAAGAGCAAATTTTGTGAAAATTATGCTGTTTTCGATGCAGACATGTGCTTATTGTGATATGACCTAGTCCAACACGAAAATCTTCCCAAAGTTTCCCTTTCCCCATGAGGTTTTCCTTGGGTTTCACGTGAAGGTTTTTTCGACGTTTCTAAAGCCCATGCGTTGGCTTCTAGCGAGATAACAGCTACATTTATGCAAAGTAGAATATAAATGTCAAAATTATAAGAATTGCTGTGAAGAAAAGAGATGAAGCCGGTTTCTTTAGCTACCACCATAAATCCCATAGATACACATCACATGCGCATAGCTAACAAAAATTCTTCCCGACGGCAAAGCAGCACATTGTTTGAACTTATTAGCCGCTGTATCAACATAGCCATGCTCCGAGTGGAACTGTTTGAACTTCCATTTGCTAGTCATATGACGAATATGGGGCAATAAAAGACAAACTGAAAATTATCATTATGAAAAAAGCATAAAAAATCGAGGCTATTTGCAGAGAAACGTAACGCATTTGACAATTTGAAATGGCTAGCAATTATGGGTGAATTTATACGAAATCAATGGAATGCGAATTGCATTTTGCAGAATTCATGCCGTCATAAGATCGTTCCGTCTTTTTTTTTGA